TGTGGGCAAGTAGGATATGTGCAAATTTACCATTCAGACCAGTACCCACCGGGGATTTTAATAGTTAGTTTCAAGACTAAGTAAATTGGAATCCAGCCCTCTGGATTTAGATTTTACCAATGTTCATTCCTGTAGTTTCATGATTAAAGAGTAGTTTCATAAGGAATTGCTGATTCATAAGATATTTTCAGGATTGTCTCTGTAAAACCAGGAGGGCTGTAATGTATAGGCTGATCAGGAATTTTTAAGAGGAGTTTTGACTCTTCATGATTCTTGTCTGACCTGCATTATCATAGGAAGTTTGGTATCTGAAGTGTAGGTTCTGCTAGGGAAACCATGGATGGACTGCCTCAGAAGCCAGCCCAAAACATCTGCATCCTTTTCAAGAGGCAGAGAATAATTAAGCTGGGCGTGCTGGTGCTTGTCTATAATCCCAGCGCTCTGGAGGCTGAAGCAGGAGACTGTCATGAGTTTGAAACCAGCATGGGCTTCTCCATAGTGAGTTGAAGGCCAGCCTGGACCACATAGCAAGACCTTGTCTAAAAAGAAAAGCAATGAGTAACTGCTAAGGGGCTGGACCTCAGTGAGTGGGCTTCAGATAGTTCTCTAGAGGCAGTGAGGAAATGTGACTGGAACAGGGGGCCCTGAGAGATCCTTTCTAGCAGCAAGATCATAGGATGGCCAAGGGAATAGAACGATGCTGCTAGATGAGGGTCACGCTCATGTTTATCTGGCTCCCCAGCCCCCTTTCTTCTCATTTCCTAGAGTTGGAGAAAATACCAGACCAGTGAAATAAAAATGGAACAGAATGTGGCATCCTCTGAGTACAGGACCAACTTGTTCAAATTTAATGGTTTTCTTGAGGCTTTCTTAATGGTTGTGTGCCCCAGGCAGCTAAACCCCAGCTCACACTAGCATCTTGGTGTACACTGCACTGTGGCGGGGTTCCTTCCTCAGTCTGCACACTCCTAGCCCCTAGGGTTGCTTCAGTGCCTTGACCCAAAAGGGAAGTTAATGGCCAGCAACTTCCTGAAAGTCCAAAGGAAGGTGAGGGTTAGGCCCTGACCCTGGCTGACTTCCTGAATTAAGTCAGACAGGACCATTGGGCTTAAGTGGGCACAGCCTTCATGTATTTGCTAATCCCTTTGTTCTCATAGAAAATTTATAATCTGTAGAGAGATAAAAACAAGAACATACATATTCAGCAGCTGCCTGCTAATCAGTTATTACTACTTTTGTTTATTTCCTTTTTATATTCACATGTAACACAGTGTGTGTTTTACTAAATACAAATCGTATGGTTTATATCCTGCCTTTTTATGTTAGCATCACATCATTAGCATTTCCCACATCATTACATGGTCATTGAGATGAGCTGCTTTATGCTCCATGTTATTCCCTGATACTTTGTTTATCCAGCTCCCTACCGTGGGACATTTAAATGCATTTACCACTTTATTGTTATTTTAGTGGATGTTATCATCCATAAATCTCTACTTTTTTCTGAGGATAACTTTCTTCTTTTTTTCATAACAAAGATGGTCATGACTCAATCAGTTTTAGTTTTTATTTCTTCTAATTTTACATTATTTTAGTTCACTAAACATTGACCTGATGACTAGTATGAAATTGAAACTGCTTTAAAAGAGTGATGCATACTTGAAGGGAATGCTTTCTATGGTAGTGAAGATCTCTTTGACCAATATGAAAGTAACTTGCAAAAAGATAGTTTTTGGTATTTGAAAGTAATTTTATCTAATCCCACTGAAGGAACATGTGTGTGGACTTGCCTTGGCTGGAGCCATGGCCAGGCCCTGGGAAGATTCCAAATGAGGTGAACTGGATGTGTCACTAGTGCTGCTTTATTTGCAGCTAGTCCACATTGGCTTACAGAAAGTCTCTTTCCCGCATTCCCAGCTTAGGAGACTCTTGGTGGGTGTAGCCTCTGTGTGGTTTCTCTTTATGTCCCTCGCCTACCATCCTGGTGTTTCAGGATTTATGTCTCCTGACTGTGGCAGGCTGCTCAAGTGGAAGGGACATCACGGACAACTCTGGCTCGGCTTTTCCTCTCACCTCCCCTTTTGCTGCATCATTTATCCAGCTTAAACCAGCAGAGTGGCTGCTGATTGTGGTGCTTCTTTCAGGGTGTCAAAAGTCAGCTTCCTTTGAAAATTATCTTGTCTCTTTTAAAAATTTTTATTGGTGCAGGTTTGCAGTCCATAATGATTATATTCCTTGTGGGAAGTTGGTACATGGACAGAACACATCCTCATTCTTTCTTCATCCCCTTCCTCTTCAATCCCTTCCCTTCCTCCCATCTCTTACTCTCCTTCCCCAAGAGAAAGATCTCTCTGCCAACTGTATATTACCCATCTTTTATTTTGCTCTTTATTTATATTTTGGGTTTTTCATATAAGAGAAAATGTGATACTTAAAATTGTACACCTTATGGTTTCAAGGTGTATCTGTTTTCCTACAGATGACTCGTTATCCTGTATGGCAGAATAGTGCCCCATTGTGTATAAATACCACATTACACTTACCCTTTCATCTGTTGATGGACATGTAGGTTACTTCCAAGACTTAACTACTATGAATTGTGCTACTGTACAATTTATCATAGCTAAACCTTGGAAACAGCCCATATGCCCTTCGATAGATGAATAGAATAGATAAATATATTTACACACAATGGAGCACTTCTCTGCCATGAAGAAGTATAAATTTGAATCATTTGGAGGCAAATGGATGCACCTTAAGACTATAATCTTAAGTAAAATAAATCAGACAGTGAAATCCCTATTTTCTAATGGTCAGTGATGAGCATTTCTTTATGTATTTATTTGCCATTTGTGCTTCCTCTGAGAAGTAACTATTCATTTCATGTATGCATCTTTTTATTGGGTTTTTTATTTTTTGGGGGCGATAATTCTTTTGAGTTGTTTCTACATTCTAGATATGAGTCTAGAATGTCTGTCTGGAAGTAGCTGGCAAAATTTTTTCCCATTCTGTAGGTTCTCTTCACCCTGTTGATTGTTTCCTTTGTTGTGCAGAAGCTTTTTACTTTTACTTTTACTTTGATGATCCTGTTTGTTGATTCTTGTTACTAGAACCAAGGATCTTGTAAAACTGGGATTCTGTTCCTTGCTTATAGAGATGACTTCAAGAGTTTTACCTATTTTATTTTTCAGCAGGTTGGTGTTTGTGTTTTAATATTCAGATCTTGATACATTGTGATTTTAGTTTGGTATGTGTGAAAGATAGGTGTCTAGATTCAGTCAAGAAGTATCTTTTTTTTTTTGGTCTTTTTGAGACAGGGTCTTGCTATGCAGTTCAGGCTGGCCTTGAGCTCACTTTGTAGCCTAGGCTGGTCTTGAACTTGCCACAATCCACTTGCCTCAGCCTCGCAAGTGCTGGGATTACAGAAATGTGCCACCACACCCGGCTCAAGTGGAGAAGTATCTTGTCTCTTGATGTCCTTTGTGAATTAGGAGTAGAACCAGAATAAAGGAGCTAAGTTTGTGGTTCTTGCTGCATAGAGCCTGGCTTTCATGTGGGTAAATCACAGTTTTCTGAATCTCAGCTGACCTATAAGCTTCTTGGGACAGAGCTAGTGTCAGGCTCACTTACGGTTCTTCCCAGCACTCTAGTATGATGAAGAGAGTATGGTCCTAGGGTCAGAACAAACTGGTTTTGCATCATGGAAGCTCTCTGTGACCCTGGGCCAGTTACTCAACCTCCACCAAGCCTTGGTCTTGCCCTCTGGACCTTGGTGGTCCTGCATGCAAAATACTGTGTGGATTGCATGGCACAGGGTGGAGCCTTAGTGACTGAGCCACATTGCTCGGAGGATTGGAGTTCATTTAAATACCCTGTGAACTTTTATTTCGTGTTTCCCTTCTGCTGCCTGCCTGAGTAAATGACTCAAGCCATTTACTTTTGCACATTTTATAAATATATGCAGGCTTGGAAGATAGAAGGTTGATTCTTGACAGCGTAGCATGTTTCCTAACTTTGCTGTTGTAAACTTGAATACAACAACCATGTCAAATTTATCTTTGCATCTCCTTGAATTCCCCGCATTAAGCCTGATTCTGTATTGAAAAACAACAAATAGTTCTTGAATATTTCACTAAAATAAAAGTTCAAGCGCAAATTCAAATGCAGTTTATAGGGGTAGTTTATTTATGTATACATTCGAGTCTAGACATGAATGTGTAAGTTCAAATTGTACCCTTAAGTCTATGCAGCCCAAGACTTGCTCTTATGGATTTTAATTACTTTAAATATCCCCAGTTTCAGCAAGAAGTCAGGTGAATGCACAGAAAGGGCTATAATTGGCCACTGTTGTGGATGTTGAACGTTTTGGTAGAGGGCACATAAATCCAAAAAAGATTCATTTTCTATTTTCAACAAATGATTTTTTAAAAAAAATAATTATTTTTTGGTGCTAAGGACCGAACCCAGGGCTTAAAGGTGGAATTTGGGTAAACTAACTGATATAGTACCCCAGCCCCATTTTGACCTTGGCCATCTGAAGTATCAGAAGGTTCTACTTGGTTGTGGTCTTCTGCCAGGGAATCCAATTTCACCCTAAGTACAATTAGGAACCCAGCAGGGACTTAACTAATACACTGCCCTGACTCTGCCACCACAGTAGCAGGGCAGGTTAGTTTCCCATTTGTAAGATGAGAAAGAATTCTGTGTAGAAGACATTGCCTTGCATTTGCCTGGGAGGCAATATGGTAATGCTGGAAAGAAAAACTGTATCAGAAACCCAAAGATTTATGTGAATCCCATGTCTCCCTCTACTTCCAACTCAACACATTGGGACTTGTTTCTTCTCTCTGAGCCTCAGTTTCTTATTTATAAAATGAGGCTGAACTGGATGAGTTTTAAGGGCTTTTCTGCCTCTAACATGCTATATGGAAAACATAGAGATAGAGGATTGGTGTTAAGGCCTCTCAAAACCTGTTTTCTCTTTGTCATTTATGCATCAGAAAATGACAGATGGCGAGACCTGGATAGGAAATGCCCTCTTCAGATTGACCAACCGAGTGCCAGCATCTGGGAATGCCCCCCTGAAAAGTGTCAGGACAGCTCATTGTGGCACCGAGAGGCGGTGACCACCTGTGCAGTGACCAGCCTGATCAAAGATCTCAGCATCAGTGACCACAATGGGAACCCCTCAGCACCCCCAAGCAAGCGCCAGTGCCGGTCACTGTCCTTCTCTGATGAGATGTCCAGCTGCCGGACGTCATGGCGCCCCTTGGGGTCCAAAGTCTGGACTCCTGTGGAGAAGAGACGGTGCTACAGTGGTGGCAGTGTCCAGCGCTACTCCAACGGTGCCAGCACCATGCAGAGGAGCTCCAGCTTTAGCCTCCCTGCCCGGGCCAATGGGCTCTCCTCACCCTGCCACCAGGCGGGACTGCACCACCGCTTTGGGGCACAGCCCAGCAGCCAAGGAGCCTTGGGCTCACCCCCCTGTGGACAGGCAGGCGACCCTTGGAGCCCTGACCCACACCCTGTGGGTGGGGGCCGTCTAGACCTGCAGCGGTCCCTCTCCTGCTCACATGAGCAGTTTTCCTTCACGGAATACTGTGTACCCTCAGCCAACAGCACACCTGCCTCAACGCCAGAGCTGGTGAGACGTTCCAGCGGGCTCTCCCGCAGTCGTTCCCAGCCATGTGTCCTTAATGACAAGAAGGTTGGTGTGAAACGGCGGCGTCCCGAAGATGTGCAGGAGCAGAGGCCTTCCCTAGACCTTGCCAAGATGGCACAGGTAAGTGCCGTAGTGGTGCAGAAGGGGCTTTAGAAGTTTTTTATGCGCATAGAAGCCTCTGCTGGTCCTGGTCTGTCCTGGCCAAGTGTACAGTGCTAGTTTACAGAGCTTATTTTAAAAATTCTGTACAAAGAAAGATTATTTCAAGTTGTTTTTTTAAAAGTGTCTTTCTCTCTGTTTAAAATGAGACATGCTCTTTCCCTGTGATGCTCTCTGTTAGTGGTACAAGAACAGACAGATGGTGAAAGGCAGGCGTCATAGGCATCACAGGTGGCCCAGTGTGACCAAACACTGTAATCCTCTTCCAGCCCTTCCCTGGAGCCCTTACTCCAGGACCCACCCGTGAGGCTGCTGTGTGACACACATGCACATTCATTGCCTCTCAGATTATGCTGATCCTAAGATCAGGGTCACCCTCATGGATTTAGAGAGGAAGGCAGTGGGGGTGTGGACATATTCCTTTGATTATGCTGTTGAAAATGCTAGATTGCCAGGGAATGTGATCAGCATCCTCTTTGTCACTTCTGTAACTGTTATTGCCATTCTGTAGTTAGACTACCTCTGGCCACAAACCTCTGTCCCTTGAACTTCATCCTCTTTGTCTTGGGGCTCTGCCTTATGCCAGTATCAATCTGATTGAGGTGACTTTCAGCTTGGTTCTAGGGTAGCCTCTGGGCTTGGGAGATGGCTGCATTTGTTTCATTCCATGGAGGCCACAGGGTATGAGCATGGTGGTAAGAGCAGAGTACATGTTTGTTTCCCTTGCCACTGACTTTGTGGATATGGAAGGGAGAACTGTTGGTTCTGTGTCCATCTAGATAGCCATGTTGCACAGTGTCCTGAGTTTGACTGTCATTAATTTTCCAGACCTATGAAGGGAAACACGAGTCACCTCTCACTGTGCAGAGATGGAGACCCTGCTGATGAGGATGGTTTCTGTGGGGTTAGCCATGCTCTTACACACCAGGACCAGATCCAGCGTAGGCATGCTTGTGGTGTCCACTGTCTTTCAGGTGAGGACAGTGTTTGTTCTTCAGGTTTTCTTCTCTCCCCTTTAATTTTCCTTCTAGCCTAGAGGACCCCACAAAAGAAGCAGTTCTGGTATGTCAAGTCAGGTGCATTTGTGGCCTCAGACTTCAGACTTTTGGGCTTCTTTTGCTCAAGACCCAAGGCCTGAATTGGGGCAGCCAGGGGGTGAGTTGGTGATATGCTTGTGTTTTCCCATGCTCATAGGCCCTACTTCTCGTCTAGTTTCTCAGTCTTCCATCTTTCCACCAGATGAGACCCTTTCTCCTTCTGGTGTAGCTGACATTTCTGACTTGACTTGCTGGACAATAGTTGGGCATATACATTGAACATCAAGGGAAAGTTTCCTTTTGCAGAGACTTCAAATAAGTAAAAAGGCTGGGAAAATGAGTTTTGGGTGACACCTAAAGGAAATTTAGAGCTCTGAGTTTTGGATAAGATACATAACGTAAGTTAAATTTTTGATGCTAAGCTTATTTTATTAGCTAATAAGCTAGAGTGGTAATAAAAACAGCTTACAAACGTTATTATATTTTACTAGCCACAGGTTGGACTAACACCACTGGCATCACTAGAGACATGTTCCATCCTTACTTGGGTAGAAACTTTAAAAATATATTATTTGATGGGGCCATGCCCAGATGTGTAGGCTGCTTCTTCAGCTCCAGGCAGGCCTCCAAGATCTGGGATAGTGTGCTGGAACCAGAGGAAGTTGCCTTAGTTCAGCCTGTCTGTCTTTAGTCGCCTGTTGAGCAGCTAGTTCTGTGCTAGGATGGAGCACAGGGAAGTGGTGGTGGTGGTGGTGGTGGGGGGTTAGGAAGGAAAGTGTGTATAACCAATGCCTGCAACCAAAGCCCTGATGGAGCCATGCACCCTATGTCATCTCCCACTGCACATCCTGCCCTCTCTATGGGGGTCTGTTTCTCTACCTGCTTCAGCTTCCCACTGGGTGATCTAAGGCTTTACGATGTGGGCTTTGCTTTCTAGGTGGCCTAGAAACCAGGCCTAGGGCAGTCCTTACTCAGCCAGGACCCTAATGTAGAACTTTGGGCCAGGGTACCAAACAAATAGGCATGTTACTGGTGTACATTGCCAGGGGATGGCTGGGGTTAGGCCTTTTATCTACAAATGTTGTCTTAGTCAGTTTTCTTTCATTGCTGAGACAAAATGCCTGACATCCAAAATTAAGGAAGGAAAGGTTTATTTAGCTCACAGTTTATGGAGGTTTTAGTCCATCTCAGCTGGGTCCAAGGCAGGGTGGCTCATGGCAGAGGGGCAGCAGTTAATGCTGGTAGAAAGCAGCAAAAGTGGAAGAGCATGGAGACAAATTCTTTCTGTCCCTTATGTTATATGTAGACTAGGGTGGGTGTATCATTCATACCCATAATCTCAGCAGTGAGCCATGAAACAATCACAAATTCTAGAAGCCTGTTCCCATGACTGTATTAGACTTTGGGGGACATCCAGACATAACCATAAAACAAACACTATCCTTCATGTACTGTGTACTATTCCTGTCTACCAGGAAGTGTGCAGCATCCTCCTTTTTATGGGAGAGAGGCTTGTAGGTGTCTTTGCATATCTATGGAAGGCTTGACCCAGGGTTGGCGCCAGCCCATACTCTTTTCATGGGCCTTCGATCTTGGTTTATACAACTGCGCCACTTGAGCATTCTTTGAAGCTCTTTTGCATAGGGGAGGGCAGAGAGCTCTGAGATCCTGACCCCACCTCTGTCTGTATCACAGCTCGTTTTAGTAGGATTAAGTAACTTGGGCCTTCACTTCGTGATAGAAGCAGGCATGACTTCAAGGCTTGTCCATTCCACTCCCTCCTGAGAAAATTGGTTCTGGTGGTCACTAGATCCACCAGGGCCCTTCTGGATGTGATGTGTACTTTTGGATCTGTATTTAGGAGGTGACAATGACACACCAGGAAACCTTCAGAAGAGGGGCAGGTGGTTGGAACACTCAGCACGTTGCTTAACATTTGTGTGCAGCAGACATTATCAGCACCAACACAGGAATGTGGAAGAAATAAGAAATAATGGGTATGGTTATACTGTGTTCAGCTTTGTGTGGGTGTATGTGCACATGTGTATTTGTGTATCTGGATAATCGTGTGTGGGTACATACACATGTATACACACATCACCCAATACACTGTCTTACACAAGGTGATGCTAACAGATACTTTCTACCATCATCATAGTCACAGGGCTTGCTGGTGGGCATAGACAACTCAGAACTGAGGTAGAGGTGCATGTTCAGGGGCCACTCAGTCTATTATAGGAACACTGTGTTTTCTTTTGTCCTTTTCCTGGCTTCTCTTTCTGTTCTTACCATTTGCTGCTTGTTGTTTGACACCTTTTCACCTCATTCTTTTTCTTTTGTGAATAGGAAGGAGCCTGCTACGATCTGCGGGCTGAGAGCTAAGAGTTATGAAATGGTGACAGAATCAGATTCACCTTCCACAAAAGGAAGTTGGCTGTATGTGAACATTCTTGTCTCATATCTTTTGCCCTTGAAACTAGGGTGGAAATACTGTAGGAGCTCACAAACAGTCCACCTTTTCTAGCCATATCCCTAATGGCCCTTGTCTCTTGTGTGAGGTTGAGACATAGGAGCTGGGTGCGGGTACAGATTGCTTTTAGCGCATGTCTTCTTAAATCCCAATGCCAAGATTGTAGGCAGGGGCACCAGACAAGGCTGCAAGATCCTGAGTGAGAGACTTTGACTGTAGTGAGGAGAGCCCTAAAGGGGAGAGTGACCCAAGTGCAGAACTGTTCAGCTTGACTCCATAGAGTGAGGTGCTTAAAGGCAGCCCAGAGCTCAGCGTGCTTGGGATCCTGCCTGGGTGTGATCCTGCTGTCCTCTCTGTGCTGCTTTTCATATCCTGTGGTCTTCTGAGGTTTCTGCTGCCTAAGGTTTTATGTGAAGCCATAGCCTCCCATTTGCACAAGTGTGTGCCATTGAGGGCAAGGCCTAGTCTGAGCACAGGAGTTGTCTATCAGCAGTACTTTTGCTGGCATTGCCAGTAACTGTTTATCTGAGATCTGGTGTAACTAGATTGGTTGTCTCCTGGCAAAACTTGAGCTATCTGTGGTCATATGTGAGTTGGGTGTGTGAGTAAAGATTATAGAAAAAGCAACAATTAGTAAGAATACTGGTTGAATGCCATGCCCCTGGGCATCCTAGTTGTTGTTTTATTTTTAACTCTAAGCTGGTCATCTTGAAAGAGAAACAAATTGTATTTTTCAACAGTGCTTCAAACAGAAGCAAGACATTCATAGGGAGGGGTCAGGGCATCAAAACAGAGATTTGATTGATTGCAGCTGCACACACATTTAGATCCTTTTTGCACCCCCTCCCCCCAACCTCTCTGAGGAGGCCTCAGAACAGGCAGCAACTGTTAAATTACCAGATGTTTGCGGAGTCCATGAAAGCTAGTTCAGGCAATTTGGGCTAGGAGCACAAGGTGAAAACCAGCATGGCAGCACATGTTTAGAAAGTCACTGAGAGCTGGGGTCCTACTGATGACAGCAAGAGACTGAGTTGACTAGGGCCGCCAGGCTGAGTGTTACACAGCACTCAGCAGAGGCCTGTGACATGTGCTTAGCAAGAACTCATGACTCTTTGCTGGGTGGAATCATCTGTGGCTAAAGCACCTTCTGGCTAGCTTTCTGCCATCTCCTCTGTAGGGTTTACCTTAAGGGTCAGTGGCCTTCCTAGTCACCATCTAGGTTGGCTCTCTGTGCCACAAGCTGCGTGACCGTATCCAGGTAGGTAGCCCTGGAAGTTGCAGGCAAGCTGTACTTTTCCTTGGTCAAGTGCCTGGGTTTTGGCCTGGTTGACTTGAGTCTTTGTGACCTTCTTCCCTGCCATTTGCTAGACACTTCATCTATTTAGATTGCCTGCTGCCTTGCACCCTTAGCCCCCTTTCTGCTGTGATGGGAACTGTGTTGATTGCAAATAGAA